AACTGAAGGACACAGGCCCAGTCAAAAGGAGAAATCCTTGACTCATTATCAGCCAATAATTGCCACATGGGAGGTGGACCCAGGATTGCCCATCCTAGGTCCATCAATTACAAAGTGTGTGACCTTGATTAAGTCACTTGATTTCTCTCCCACTTGATTTCCTCCTCTGTAAAAGGAAGATAATAATAATGCCTATATCTCAGGGTGGGAGTGAGAATTAAATGAATTATCCATTGAAGTACCTAGAACATTGACTATCCCATAGTAAGAACTTAATAATTGTTAGCTAATATTATTAAGTCCATGGTTGGGAGGGGAAGATTCTTGAAGGGGGCAAAAGTATTCAAGTTATTCTCAGAAAAGAGGGGCTAATTGCATGGGATAAGACCAGGTTGATGAAAAATCTTTTTGCCAGGAATTCTGGCAACCAGTAAACATGGGATTCTTCTGAATATAACCAGATTTGACTCTTGACTGTGTCTTTATTAAAGTTTGGGCAACTAATTATTTCTTATTTTATGCAGTATGTTTAGTGTGAAAAGCATTTTCAATTAAGGAGTCCTGGGAATAGAATAATGGGGCTCTTAGTGAGAGAAAACGTAGGTGTCATTATTCTAAAGCCAGAATACAGAAGATTTGGGTTTAGCATCAAATGTGTTTAAGTTTCTGGCTTAAATATAATCAATCATAGAGGATACTGGTGAGCCAACTGTTTCCTTTTATTTACAAGTTTTTATTTATGAGAGAAAACTCATAAATAAAAAGAAAGAAGCAAGCATTTATTCTCAGGCTAGCCAAAGAGGAGACAACATTTAGAAACATATTCCAGGCAAAAAGTGAATGCAGAGTTAGAGAATTAGAATGTCACCCTTTTAAACAACCTATACAATTAATAGATTTAGGTACTGAGCATCAATAGCTGTGAATATCACAAAAATTACACTCCCTGCTATGATGCAGTCTTACAAGAAGAAAGGAACACAAGTCTGATAAAGCCTCTAGATGAAAATTTGCAAATTTGAAATCCAAGAACAGAATAAGTTAAAAAAACCTAAAGAATATAACAAAATACAGACGAGCAGAATCCTCTGGGGAAAACAACCCTGTCTCTTCAACAATGCACTTCAAGGACAAAAAGAGCTATAATGGAGAGATCTATAGATTTTTCAAGATAGCACTATCAGTCAATCACAATGTGTGGACTTTATCTGGATCCTATGGTAAGCAGAAAAGTGGCCTCAGAACTTGTCCACATCCTGATCTCTAGGACCTGTAAACGTGTTACCTATGGTAAAGGAGGCTTTGCATGCATGGTTAAGGCTAAGAATCTTGAGAGGGGACATCATTTTGGATCATCCAGGTGGGGACATATCTGTCTTTCAAAGTGGACAATCTTTTCTAGCTGTAGTCTGAAAAAGATACGACTACAAAAGAAAGGCCAGAGACGTGACAGGTTGCTGACTTGGACAGGGAGGAAGGCAACCATGACTCACTGAAGATGAACAGCCTTAAGGAGGAAAATACAAAGAAACAAATTCACCCAAACACTCGCTACAAAGGATCTTCCCTGGCTGACACCTTGACTTTAGCTAGTTGATACTCATGTCCAGCTTCTGACCTCCACAATTAGAAGCTCATATTGTTTAAGCCACAGAATTTATGAATTTATGGTATTTTGTTATGGCAGTAGTAGAAAACTAATATAGATGAAAACTGTGTGTGTGTGTGTGTGTGTGTGTGCGCGCACGCGCGCGTTATTTTTATAAACATTCACAGAAAAAAAGACAGGGCAGGACAGAGAGTAAAACTAAGCAAGGCTTCAGCTTGAGACTGGCTCTGACCCAGTCCTACAAGGAGCTCAGGAGCAGGAATTGTACAGCAGGGAGGCACTGCCTGGAACAAGGAATATGGAGTTCATTGCCAGCATCATTCTCCTTCCCAAGGAAGCAGCTCTCATCCAACAAAAGCAATTCGGTGGAGCAGGAGACAGCTCTAAGTACCAGCTCCAACACTCATAGCTCACAACAAGGGCTGGAGGGGTGAAAGGGGGTTTTCTAAGCAAAGAAATGGGAAGAGTAGGCAGATATTTTAGGCAGAATATAGCTTAAGAATCATCTCCTATAAGGAATGTGTGGTTTTTTATTATTTAAAAATTAACTTTCCACACCTATCACTTTGTTTGGGCCTCACAAAAATAAAACCTGTAGAGGAGTGAGAAGAGGCATTATTATTTCACACAACAGCGTGGGTGACTCTCAGCGCAATTACACTCCATCCAAGGAGGCAAATGAAAGCAGCACATACTGTATTCTCCCATCTACACAAAATTCTTAAAAGGGAAAACAAGGGCAAAAGGCAAATCAGTGTGTCATTAGGAGGAGATGGAAAGAGGCAGGAAAGATCATGAAAAAAAGCACACGAATGGATGAGTTCACTATCTCAATTGTGGTGATGATCTCATGCATATGAGAGAAAATTCATGAAATCCTAAGCTTTGAACATTGGCAATTCAATTGCATGTCAATAAAGCTGTAAAATATGTTCAAAAAAGAAACAGGCACATTTCACAAGTATTATCTTATATGAGACTCAAAAAAACTGCCAAAGAACCAAACCGTACACTCTTGTCACTATACACACCAATAGGGAAACTGAGAGTCAGGAAGGCTCACTGGCCCCGAGATACACAGCTGGAAAAGAGCAGAGGCAGGACTCCAATCCAGGGCCCTCTGCTGAGTTCAGTGCTGCAGCCAGAAACCAAAGGCCACCTCCTCCTGGCCCCCAGCTAGTGGGGTCCAGAAAGCTCAGGGCCAGTTCTGAGGCCACAGCATACCTGAGGGTTAAGAGTTGAGCTAAGAAATCAAATGGCCATGGGTTCAAATCCCAGCTCCATTACCCCTGGCTGTGCACCTCAGTTTCTTCCTCCATGAAATGAGAATTATACCAATGCACACTGCATAGGGCTTTTGTGATCTATTGTGGGCCTGACCCTGGCACTCCAGTGATGGGAAAACTGATTTACCATCATAGCACCCTCCTTGTTGGGAAGGTGTAGGGGGAAAAAAAAAAATCTTTCATCTCCCCCAGGTGTCCTTGATTATAGCCCACCCTCCAGGAGAATCCCTCCCCTCCTCTCCACCAAAAGCAATTTTATGGTGACAACAGCAGAACATTCCTGAGACTTATTTGAACCCAAGCAGGATTTCCTTGGGCCAAACTGCATGCTCTGGGGTGCCAGAATTGAGCTGAGTGTAGAAGGTCTCATTAATAATCCCATAGGAAATTGGGAGATGGTCAAAGTCAAATGAGCTGTATTGATGCTCTGTGATCAGCATCCCTGAAGATTGGCCCTTGCCTTCTGCTATTTCCTTGAAGCTTCCTTGGGTGGGGGAGAGGGAACAAGCCTTGCCCTCACCACTGAGGGAAGAGGAAGGAGGAGGCAGAGCTACAGGCCTAGAGGTGCATTCAAGGCTCAGGGCCAGAGTACAGGGAGAACTACAATTTGGAGAAAAGTTATCTTCGAGCCCTTCAACATCTACTGGGGCCCAGTCACTCCTAACTCAAGGCAAGAGGACTTCCTCTACCTGGTACAAAGAAATCAGGTTGAGTTAAACATGAATCCTGAGCTGAACATGGCAGCTGTGTGGCTGGGGCACATCCATTCAAATGGAAAAAGAAAAGAGGGGAGGCAACTGTGAGAGGCCTTGGAAGTCTCCAGAAGTGGATCTAGGTAGTCCAATAAGGATATAGGAAGCCACTGATTAAATCTGAGTTTTGGAATGATCACACTTGGCACCTGAAAGGCTTGAATGAAGCCTGGCTGGTGCCTGGTTAGTCCAGTGTCCTTCCTATGGAAAGAGGCAAGACCCTATTCTTTCTTGGGTACATAATATTGTTTCTAGGACATGAGCTGGGAACTAAGAGATGCACACTCTCTCCCTCTCTCTTTGAGAGTTCAAGACAGAAATTCCCAAGAGATTATGCTGGTCAGGGCCACTGGTTGCTAATAAAGCCAGCATAGGTGGAAAGGAATTGGCTGGCTCACAGAACCCTACTGAGCAAGGGTCAGGGTGGCGCTGGCCACAGGGATACAGCAGAGAATCAGCAATCCAGTTGCTATTCCTCTCTCCACCTTTCATTGCTGATGCTCTGTGCATATTGGCTGCATGCTTTCAGACTGGCTGCTCCCATGAGGATTAGATTATGGCTGCCAGCAGCACCTGGGCATACAGCTATTTAACTCTCCAACCAGAGAGGAGTAGGTTTTTCCAGTTTGCCCTGACCCTCCAGTACCTAAGGAAGAGCTCTGATTGGCGAGTTTAAGTCATGTGTCCATTCCCAACCAATCACTTTTGAAGACTAAAGAATATGGCTGCCTTTCCACATTGGTGGGTGGAATGAGAGAACAGTCAGGGAAATGACAGAAGAGGAGCAAAATTTCCCAAAAAGCTCTGTCTGGAAAGGGGAGGACTGGTCAAATGAGATAGTGTAATGAATGTCCATTAAAAAGGGTTCAAATGTCTGTTAAAGAGGGTTCAAACCCCATATCCAAAGAAACAAAGAACATACTCAGAGCCCAAACACCTAATCCTGGCTATATCCTATCTGGTCCAGAGCTGCTGGTTGGCCATCATAGGGGCCTCTCCGTGGGTTGAGGTCCCAAGATCCCATGAGAAGTGGAAGAGAAAGCCCTCAACATTCAGGGGTCATAGAAGTCTTCAATATAAGCTTGGGTTCCAAGGGACAAGTGTATGTCAAATGGCCAGGACTGGGGATCAGAGATGAAGAATAAGAAAGTCAAGTAGAAGGTAGATGACTCAGGGTTAATGTATTGAGTGTTTACCAGGTTCTGGACACCTTTCTAAGACTTTTATCAGTATCCACACATTTAAATTACTTAACAAGTTTCCAAGACAGATAGCATTATTCTTTATTTTTATAAACAAATTCTTACTTTATAAATAAAACTCAAGGTCACACCAACCCAGTTCTGCCTCCAGAGTCCTGGCCCTAATTATGACTTTGTCTTGCTTTGCATGCATATCCAGTGATCCTGTCCCAGGATCCCATGGTCCACAAGCCTACAGCCACCAAAGAGATCTTTCTTTTCTTCCACTCATTTCTTGTGCTGCCTTTGAGTCAGATGGCGACAATGTGGGGACCCCTTGGGGCAGTTGCAAGGAATGGCCCTCGCCTACCTCTCCACCTTCCCCGGCTCAGTTCTCTGGCACAGACATGGCACCATCTTGACACCGCCTTCTCGGGCTGGCATTTCTGACAACAGGCTGGTAATTGAAAGCCACCAGCAAATCATTAGCCTCCTCCATGGCTGACACTCACAGCCTCGCTTGGCTTGTTGCTGAGGAATGTCTGATGCATTGCAGCTCTGGCTGGAAACGTGATCCAATTTGGAAAGTCACTTGACTACAGCAACAACCCCGAGGAGCAGCTGATCCAGGCTCCTGCTTCCTACCCTTCCCTGGGTTTTGAAAGGATTCTAGGGATGGAGAGGTGGGCTTCAGTCTGGAGAGGCTTGACCTGAGAAAGAGTGTGAATCGGGTAAAGACCTAAAAGAATGCAGATGGCATCTTAGTCCTGCTCCAGCTGCCCCTCCACTCACCATGTGACCTGGCATGAGTCACTCACTGCCCCTGAGCAATGTGGTTTAGACAAGGCACTCACATCACAGTGAGACCAGCCCAAGTGGGAATCCCAGCTCTGACCCTACCAGATGGGTGGCCTTGGACCTAGCATCTGCCCTTGAGAAATTCTCTAAATCTCAGTTTCCCAATCTGTCAAATGGGCACCAAGACCCGCATCACCTTGCAGACTTGTAGGACAGAACCATTGGGATAACTAGCATCACAGAGGTGCTGCCTCATTTTATCCTTGTGGCAGCCCCATAAGGTAGACACAACTTTCATGCCCATTTTATGGATAAGGAAACTGAGGCTCAGAAAGGGACAGTGTCATTCTTGAAGTTGAATAGCTGGCAAGGGAGGGGCATGAAGTCAAACTCAAGTATTTGGGCTCAGAGGTATTGCTCTTGGCCACTCCAAGCTGACATCAACCACAAACAGAAGCCAGTTCTCCCTTTTCCTGAGTTTTCCTAGCATCCTCCCAGCCTGGCCCATCTATTTTGGTCAAGTCAGCGGGCAAGGAGACTCTGATGAGTCTTTGCTCCCAGGATTTCTGAATACAGCACATGTTTCCTGGCCCAAAAGAGCCTGATTCTCAGAAGTGCAGGCCTAGGCTTATTTTGCCACTGAATTAGATGAATTTGAACATCTCTTGGGGCTTCAGAAAGTGTGCCCAAAAGAGCAACTTCCCCTTGCAGCCTCAATAGTGGGCTCTGAATGTCTCTTTGCATTTGCTGGTTCTCGCTTCTTCCTAACAGAATCATCATTCCTAATCATTCACCCCCTCCATCCTTGCTGCCTATCCAACTCCGATTCCCAGGAGTGCCAAAGGGAGAGTCCTCATAAAAAGGGGGTGGTATGCCACACAGACATCCACCCCCAGTGAGTGTCTCCGGCACCAGGTGGCAGGCTCCATACCTGTGCCTCTCCAGGTCACTCCCAAGTCCCCAGAACCAAGCCCAGGGCTTGGCTCCTGGAAGGCACCAGACTCGTAACTGTTAAATGCATAAGTAAACGCCAGGCTAGTAGAAGTAGTAGTGCTGCTAATTATCACTGCTCAAGTTAACCAAGTTAACCAAGTCCCTGTGATGTGCTGGATGTTTGACAAACATCTCATCTGATTATTTTGTCTCTCTACAGATGAGGAAATGGAGGCACACCATTGTCCTTCCTCCTTCCTCCATATAGAACTGGGGGCAAGGAGTGGAACCAGTCCCAAAAACATCTTACTACAGCACCCACAGCATCTATCCTGTCAGCACCTTCTACGTACCAGGCTCTCATGCCACCTACATTACCTCCAAGCCACACTATGAGCACAGGATGAATATTATTATTCCCTATTCTGAAAATGAGGATCCCAAGAGTCTTGAAGTTTAAATATCTTGCTTCTATGTTGCAGAGTCAGGATTAAAACCCAGTCCAGTCCAAGCCCAAAGTCCATGTGCTGAACCACGATGCCACATTTCCTCTGCTCTCCCTTCCGGCAGCAGTGGGAACTGGAAGTGCAGAAGATACTGCTTGTGCAAGGACTTATGCAGGCCACCGAGGCAAAGGATTCCAGTTGTAGGCCCCCTCATCAGTACCCAGCACTGCCGAAGAGAGGGCCTGGCTCCACCCTCATGCCCTGCTGCAACTCCCTCTCCTTGGACCTTGAGTCCCCTGGCCAAGCCCTTGGTGTTGAATGTCCACTCTCCAGAGGTCCCAGTGATGGGCAGGCAGGGTGATATGGCGAGAGCACGCTCACCATCCTCTCGAAACCTAAGTCTTAGCCGAGGGAGAGGAATAAATGGTCTCTAACAAAGACAGGGAGAGGAAGACAAAGACACAACTGTCCTTGACAACTGGGTCAGAGAATGCTTTGTTGCCGGGGCAACAGAAGAAGAAGTGGGAGTGTGAGAGCAGAAATCACTGACTGTAGCACCTATGCTGAGAACCACTGTTCTGCAGTGTAATGGAAGGGATTATGCACTTTGTGAGGTATCAAAACAGGAACACGGTCACAGTGTTTAAGTGAGTATCACAGGATGGAAAACATTACAGACAGTTTATTGGTTAGAGCTCATGGAATAGCTGGACTACCTCCCAAGTACCATTCTGCTTCTTCCTTACTCATCGGGTTCTGATTTCACTCTGTTGAATAAATATATTCAGCTCTGGAGAATGAATTAAGACTTGTTTAAACCAAGCATCATTCACTGGACTTCCCTCTTGTCTACAAGTGGGGCATTAACCCAGACCTGACCAATAAGACACAAGGAAAATCTCTTGAGAGATTTTCAGGAAGTAGTTTTCCCATTTCCTCCAAAAAAAGATAGAGGAACACATAAAGAAAATGTCTTCCCTGCTCTGGCTGTCTTCCTTTCCTTGAACACTATCTTGTGAGGATGTGATACTTGGCGCTGCAGCAGCCATTTTGTTACCATGAGAGAAGTCACTGTGTATGCATCAAGGAAGGCAGGACAAAAAGATAGTAAATACCTGTCCCTTTGGTGACACTGAACTGTCTTAGCACTACCGTCCAGAACTACTTTTCACGAGGCATCTTGGTACATAAATAAATAAATGTCTTTCTGGCTTACATTACTTTTGGGTTTGCTTCCCTGCCACTTGCTTCAGGACTCTTCGGAGCAAGTAACAGCAATTCTTTCAAACTACAGATAATCCCTGATTTATAACTATTCATCTGATGATTTTTCAACTTTACAATGCAGCAACAATGGTACACATTCAGTAGAAACCGTATTTCACTTTTGGAATTTTGCTCTTTCCCCTGAGCTAACCATGTTCCATCCAATCGTCTCTCATGATGCTGAGCCAGCAGCAGGAAGCCACCATTTCCAATCCACCTCGAGGTCCCAAGGGGAAACAATGGCTACTCCATAGGGTGCTGCATTGCTCAGCTGGGATGTGCAACAGGGGAGGGCATCAAATGCATGTCTGACTTATGAAAGTTGCAACTTACAATGGGTTTGCTTGGGGGGAACCATCGTAAGGGGGCAGCAAGATGCCAAGGGGCATCTATAGCTGATTTGGACAAGGGAGGTTTGTCTGAGAGACATGCTGAGAACTCGAGGGCCAGGCATGGCTGGGTTGTAAGGATCATCTCTAAAATTTGCTTGTGGCTGGCCTCCTTCTCCTCGCCGACTGCTGACCACTCTCCCCGGCTCCTGAGGCTGCCACATGCTTCCCTGTGGCCCATTCCAGAGTCTCAGGGATCCACAGGACTGAGGCTGGAGGCTCCTGGTCTCTATTCCCAGCCCCAGGAAAAGGGTTGATTGACTGAGCATGGGCTGGGAACTCAAGAAGGATTGCATACCACAATTTAAGCACTTACCTATGTCTTGTTGGATTCTGATCTTTTTCTTTGATGCTCATCTGTATTTTCTAACTTCCCTACAATCAGCATTTAAAAGGAATCAGGCTGTGCCACTCACTGCCTTGTGACTTCACCTCTCTGAACCTCTGCTGCCTCAGCTCTAAAGATCAGCATCACCCTTTCTGGTTCTTCAAGTTGCAGGAAGGATCAAGAGGTTAAAGCTGGTTACCAGCTAGGCTCACCACAAACTGGGAGCTATCCCAAGTATATGTATGTGTTTGTCTCCCCTTCTTACTGTTAGCTCCCAGAGGTGGGCAACAAACTGTGCATCCCTCTATAGCGCCTGCACCAGGTTAACTAATGTCCCCCTTATTTGGAAATTGGGACTTTGGAGATGCTACCAGGTTAACATGAGGTCTTATTGGGCTGGAGTGGGTCCTAAATCCAGTGGCTGGTGTCCTTCTATGGAAAGAAAGATTCAGACACTGACACACAGCGAAGACGCCACGGAGGCAGAAGTTGGAGTTATGTTGGTACAGGCCAAGGAACACCCGGGCCCCTGGAAGCTGGGAGAGTCCAGGTAAGATTCCCCCATGGGGAAGCATGGTCCAGTGAACACTTTGACTTTGGACTTCTCGCTTCCAGAACTGTGAGAGAACAGATCTCTGTTGTCAGAAGCCACCTAGTTGGCGGTAATTTGTTAGGACAGCCCCTAGGAAACTAATACAGTGCTTAATGGAGTCGTGTATACGTGGTCCATTCTCAGTAAATGCTTGGTGAGGGAGAAAGTGAAGGAAGGGTAAACAGGAGGATCAGAAATGGCATCTGGCGGGGCTCAGCCACACCAGCCTCTCTCAGCATCCACAGCTAATGTTCAATGGTCTCTCCGCTCGTTCATTCATTCATCCATTCATTATTTCTCACTCCTTTTTATTGAGCTCCTGCCAGATGTTCCATTCTGGCTAATCATCCCATTTGAACTCCAGCAAGAATTTGGGGACTGGCCTCTTTCTCCAGTCCCCATCTCTCCCACGCGCCTGTGTTTTGATGGATGGTTCCCCAGAAGCCACCCAACCATGCTCACACAATAAAAGGAGAGACAAAAATTTAATAAGATTCCAAATTGCCTTCCCTGGAATTCAAATTGCTTCATATATTATGTTCATGATAACTACTGTAGTTCCTATTTTTTTCTCAAGCCTCCTCCCTTCTTTTTTAATGAGACAAGTTCCTATGTTAATGAATTCTAGATTTTCATTTAATAAATGTTGCATGGGAAGCTTCATTATTTGCAGCTCCATCAATCTAAAGCAGACACACAAATGCTCCTTTCTAAGTACCTGGGATCAATAGAGCATGGTCCTCACGTACTCGGGCCCTACACGCTGCCACTGAGAAGAATTCAGTAATTGAAAAGACCTTATAAATCAATACAGCCAAATTGAAAACTCCAAGAGAAGTCCACATCATTCAAAGAGGTGGTTGTTAAGACTGCTCTTTACCTTTATATGGGGAAAAACAACACTAGGAAGAGGTTGGAGTGGGGGCAAAAGAAAACAGATATTTCTATTTAATCCTATTCACTCAGTGGAACCCATACGTAGTATGTGGGTTTAATTTAGCTTTACTTGTCCTGATTAATTTTCCCTTTGTCTTTGCCTCTATTCAAACATAATGTCTCCCCACTCCAGACCACCTACTAATGCTTTCTGAGCCTCTTCCACGAAGGCAGAAGTCAGTGCTCAATAAACGTGGATTTCAACTGAACAGAGTGACTACCATTCTAGGGTCTTTGAAGAATGGCGAGGTACAGCATTCCTTTCTGTCCCCCTACAAACCTCCTTCATCTGACAAGTCTGCCATGCCCTGCAAGAAGAGAATTTTTGTTGGGTTTCCATAATGGAGTGTGAGTTGCTTCTCTCTATCCATCTCTACACTGGATACCTGGTTATGGTAATAAAATCACCTTTAGAAATTGTAAGTTCCCACCCAGCACAGAGAAAAATCATCTGACAGTTGGTGGCAGCACCTAGATATCTGGATGTTTCAAAGATGCCTTAAACTCAACTTGTGCAAAATTCCATGGAGCATCTGTGCCATTCCTGACATCCATCCCCCGGCATTGTTCCCTTTCTGCGGGACTCACCCAGCCATGGAGCCAGGTAGGGCTCCCTCCTCCTCTTCCTCCCACCTCTCCACCTCAGACGCATCTAAGCCCTGCCTAGGTTCCCACTGCCAGTCTTGCTCTGAGGAAGGGATCTTCCCACACCAAGAATCTTCCCATATCACACAGCTGACAGTGCCCCTTGCCTGTTTTAAAAACCTTCGATGGTTTTCCATTGATTTGGCATCAAGGAAAAACTCTTTCCATCTGTAAAGTAAAAAGAGGTCTAGCACCTGCCTGTGGCTCCTGCCTTGTGTTTTGTGGTATCCCTCACCCCTGCTCTCTGCTCTGCAGCCACGCATCCTTTCCTCTGCTTCTCAGGCATTTCCTTTCTCCCTCGAACCCTTTGCGTGTGCTGTTCCCCTGCCTGGAATGCTGTTCCTCCCACCCTTCTCTTTACTCAGTCACACCTCATTATTTCAGTCCCTGCTTCATTGTCCCCTCCTCAGAGAACTCATCCCTGACTTCCCATGGCTAAGTGCAGCAAGTTTAGTAGAGATTCTTGAAGACTCCTGTGTTTTTCCTTTTGCTTTGTCAAACTTCTCACAAATATACTACGAAATTGGGAGAAATTGCTTATTCACAAGACCATAAGTGCTGTCAGGCAGCATCTCTTCTGTTATGCTGAGCACCCAGTAAAGCTGCCAGGCGTGGTGGCACACACCTATAACCCTGCCTCTCGGGAGGCTGAGGCCAGCCTGGGCTGCATAGTAAGTTCAAAGCTAACCTGAACAATATAGCAAGAACCTGTCTTAAAAAAAAAAAGATTCACCGTAAACACATAAAGGAAATTGTTTCTGGAAAATTGAGAATATTAATTATTTACATATATTTGTTATACTGCATCTTGTTAGATGAAAAAAAAACTGTCTGTGAATACATAGAAAAGGTCTGGAATATTATAGAGCCAAGGGGAAAAAAAAACTTATATCTGGAGAGCAGGACTGTTGACTGTATTAGTCAGAATCAATGGCGTGTGTGTGTGTGTGTGTGTGTGTGTGTGTGTGTGTGTGTAGATATATATATGGGGGGGGGGGTTATTAGGAGGAGTTGTCTTGCAGTTACAGAGGCTGAGGCATCCCAGGCTCTGCAGTCAGCAAGCTGGACCCCAGGAGAGTCAGTGAGGTAAGTTCGACTCTGAGGGCAGGAGAGCCCGCCACCTGTTCTCACGGTCCGGAGGGAGGAATCTCCTCTAACTCACCCTGTTTGTTCTACTCAGGGCCCCAGCCTCACAGACACACCAGAACACCAGACCAGTGGCTCAGCCAAGTCAGCACACAAAGTCAACTGCCATGGAGACCATTTCCATACTGTTTCTATTTTCTAATTTTCCAGCAATGGACATGTATTACTTCTTTCACAATGAAAATAATAGTTGTTTTGTTTCTTTACAAGGTTTTCGTATGTCTACCAGTGTGAGAATAAGCTGGCTGATAAATGACCTGTGCTTGTTTACAAGGCTAAGATGAACACTCAACAAGAAAAATGTGGACTTGAGGGTCTTCAGCTCATGCAGATGAGAGGAGATCAAAATAACTGAGCTAGGGGCCGGGGATTTAGCTCAGTGGTTCCGGCGTCTGCCTCGCAAGTGCAAGGTCCCGAGTTCAATCCCCGGTACCAAAAAAAAAGTAAATAAAATTAAAAAATAACTGAGCTAGGGCGGGGGATTTAGCTCAGTGGTTCCACCACCTGCCTCACAAGGGCAAGGACCCAAGTTCGATTCCCGGTGCCAAAAAAAAAAAAGAAACCAAAAAAATAAATAAATAAAATAACTGAGCTAGACACTGAAAGTCTGAGTTCAAGTTCCAATTCCATCACTTACCTTTCCCGGAGACTCAGTTTCCTCTGCCGTAAGATGGGAACAATAAACCTCTCTCACAGGGGGTCTGTGTGAAATGAAGTGACACAGGTTTGCGTGCACTGTGAGGCTGTACAGCATGAGTCAAATATTACCTTGAAGGGGAGATGATTGGAATGGTTAAGAGGGAGCAAGAGAACAGGAACTACAGTCCCAGCTCAGCCACTGCCAGCTACAAGAGGTGATCAAACTATACAATCAATTTTAAATTTTAAAAATTTATTACAGACATATTTATTAAAAGACATATTGCCATCAGCCTCGCCCCTTCAGATGCTCCCCTTTGCTTTGAGCACCTATCCCATCATTCTTGCCACTTTCTGAAGCACTTCGGGAAGTCCTGTTTCATGAGTCTTTTTACTTTCACTGTTATGGCTGCCTCGGTGTCCTGAATCCATTCAAAACACTTACTTTTCATGGTCATTTTGACTTTGAAGAAGACCCAGAAGTCACACAGTACCAGATCTAGTGAATAAGATGGATGAGGACATATCATAATTTTTATGGGCATGCCTTTTTGTTAGATGGCACTAGACAGCAGCATTCTCTTTTTTTTTTTTTGATACCGGGGATCGAACTCGTTTTTGTGCTTGCGCAGCAAGCGGTGAAACCAATGAGCTAAATCCCCGGCCCTCATTTTTTTTTTATCACACCTGGCAAAGACACTCATGAAACAGGGGCTCCAGAACTGCTTCAGAAAGTGGCAACAACAAGCCTTCAAAGTCAAGTATTTTGAGGGGTTAATGGCAATGTATGTTTTACTGAAATAAATTTTTTAAACAATCATCCAAGAGATGGAGAGAAGCTGTACGGAGGAGACAGGAAGGGGATGTGAAAAGAATTGAGATGTGTAATGCACATGGACCAACTCCCCATGGTGAAATTACTGAAAACATGTACCAGTAAAACTTTAAAAATAAAATAAAACCCCTTAAGTAAAAAGTTCAAAAAGCATTTTTTTGATAATCCTGTATATTTTGTCTATGGTCATACCACCCCGAAGGTGCCAATCTCGTCTGATAATTCTGTATATTTTGTATTATATTTATTATCTATTCACCCCAAGCCTTATTCCAGAATGGCTGGACTCACACCCCTAATCCTGACTTTTGCATCTGTGTTTGGATTTTTGTTACAAAATCACCATTGGCTCAAGATATCCTTGATGTTCCACAGAGCCCTCCTGCCTCTTAAAGCTCATGCTTCATTCTCTCTGCTAAACTCACTGGCAGCTGATTCCCCAGGGACACCTCAAACAGAAAGTCCCAAAACACCGACCACCTCCTAAAACTGATCAAAGCCATCTTCCTAATTTCCTTACATACAGCACTTAAACCCATTGATTAGGTTGTGCTAATTACACCCTTGGGGGACCCAGTCTTGAAATCTGGGGCATGAAAGAAATTCTGGCAGCCAGCTCTGCACAGGAGAAGAAAGGAAGCTTGGTCAGAGAGGGAGCAAGGGGGGCTGGGGAGTTCCAGGCAGGAAGTTGTTTGAGAGTTGAAAAAATAAAGGAAATTCAGATTAAAACAACAAAAGGATGTCTTTTAGCCAATCAGATTAGCAAAAACAAATCACCCTTCCTTGACAAGGTAGAGGGCAAAGGGTACTCAAAATCACCCTGGGAAAGCACAAACTACCACAGGATTGTTGGAGGACCTTACAGGCGCCATTCCCCTCCCAAACCTGCACGAACTTCTGCCCTCCCAATTTAATTCCGGGATCCATCTTTTCTACAGAAGCATGTGTGCACATATCTACACAGATAAGGATGTGCACAAAACAAACATACACTCCCAAAAAGCTGGAAACAGTTAAATGTCCCCGAACAGGGGAATGGATAATATCCCATTGCAATAATAAAAATTTCTTGTAAAAATGAATTACATATCCTTGTGTGCACAAGATCTATTTATACTGTAGTAAATATTATCAAAAAGCAAAGAAATCCAAAATTGTATGTAGGCACATGAATATAGGCTCTCAGGTGTTCAAATGCAAAGGGTGCATTCCAAACTGTTAAAAAATGGACACCTCTGGAAAGAGGAAAAGTAGAGCTTGTACTTTGTATTCTATAAAAAAATCTAAAAGAAAAAATACACAAATGGGGAATGTGGTTTTATCAATTGAAATCCCCCAATATTATCTCCTGTCGCTGCCAATCTTAATAAAAAGGCAGATTTAGGTCCTAGTTCTAACTGCTCAGAAGGATTTCAAACATAATCTTTGCTTAGTATCTTCTGATCACTTCCCTAGACATCATCAGCTTAATGTTCAGTTCTTTAAGGCCTCTGCACAGAGTTATGCTCCCTATAGCAACAGATTACTCTAAATACAGACACAGTCTAAGCAAACTTATGTATGTCATAATTATACTCTTGCATAATCTCCCATGTTTTAATTTTTGTAAACCTCGATTTAAGTGTTATTTCTTATGGCACATTCTCTCGCCTTCCAGGTATTTTTGCAATGGATATTATACTCTTTAAGACTTTCTTGATCGCGAATGAAAGAAACTGAATTAGCAAGAGGTAGAACTCATTATCAATACTCAATAAATGTTTGCTATTGGAGCTACCCCTACAGTTGTTATTAAAAGTGGGACTTGGCTAGATTCAGGAATTTATTTATCTTCAGGAATGTCTTTATGGGCTTGTGTTGCTTAGCTCTGCTCCTATTTCAGTGGGGTCTCTTTCACTTGTAAGTGAAACCCAAGTCAAGTCAGGTTTAACACAATACAGGGTCAGGGCAGGATGGGTTACTGGCTCGCATAACTGAGAATTCCAGGCAGTGGTTTCAGGAGGTGCTTCATGTAGGTGCTCATACTGTGTAAACTGCACACCTACCTGAAAGCTAGGGTGTGGAATCACTTATGTCCAACCCATGTGATGCATAATAGGAAAAGGTTTGTTCCTGCAAAAAGAAGTCAGGGTATTTTCATCAAAAACGGCAGATCAAAAAAGCCCAAGGTCCTGAGTTAGATCCCTGGTACCAGAAAAAAAAAATGGCAGAAATACAGTTAGAAACAAAACACGTCACCAAAGTTTCTTTCCCTTCATATTCTCAATTCTCTCTCTCTCTCTCTCTCTCTCTCTCTCTCTCTCTCTCTCTCCCCTTTCTCTCCTCTCCTCTCCTCCCTCACAACTCACTCTCTTCTCGCACTCTCTTGCTCTGAAAACTGGCTGCTTCAGACACTGATTTTTATAGTGGGAAATAAGGCAGCCAACAAATTCCAAATCCACTTAGCCTGACTCTCTCAAGCCCAAGCCCAAGCCCAAATAAACAGTCTTGTGTCAGTTATCTATTGCTGCATAACAAATCATCCCAAAACCAAGAGGATAATTACGTTGCATAGTTTCTGCAGGTACCTTACTTGGATAGTTACAGCTCTGTCACGCCAGAAATCATCAGAAGGCTTGACTGGTCTTGGAGGACCTCTTTCCAAAAAGTATGCTCAAGTGTGTGGCAAGTTAGTGCTGTTTGCTACAGGTGTTCACCCAGTGCATCTCCACAGGCGGTTAGTCCTCATACATGGGGTTGACTTCCCCTGCAGTGAGTGATCCAAGATAAAGAACATTCAGCAGAAATCATTCTTTTTTTGTATTAAATTCTTTTATTGGTACATTGTAGGTATACAACACAATTACATTGCTCATTGGGAATTGTACCTTTACATCATGCATCTTGGTTCTTATTTTTTCCCCATTCCTAGCCCTCCCTTCACGCCCTCCACCCTTCCCTATTTACAAAGACTTTATTTCCATTTTTCCATTTCTCAGCATTTTTCCTTTCCCTTCTTTCCTTTCCCCTGCCCCTCCCACTACCCCTACCCCTTTGGACCTTTTCTTCCTATTTTGCATTATCGATTATTCATTCTAATCATTGGTTCATTTTAGGTATACAATATAATGACATCCATCATTGGAAATTTGCACCTTTACACAGTCTCTCTTGCTTCTTATTTTTCACCCTTGCCCAGCCCTTCCTTCAACCCCTCCATTCCTCCCTATTTACAGAGATTTTGTTCCTACTTTTCCATTTTCTCATATTAATCCCATTCCCTTCTATCCTTTCCCCTAGCCCTCCCACTTCCTTCCCCTTTGCCCCTTTTCTTCCTATTTCACATTACCTATTATACATTTTAGTCCTTATTTACACTTTCAGTTTCTCACACTAGAGAAACCATTCGGTATTTATACATGTGTGTCCGATTTATTTCACTTAATAGTATCTCCTCAATGTGCATCCACTTAGCTATAAATGTCTCTAATTTCTCATTTTTTATGGCTGAGTAGTACTCCATTTTACAAAAAACCCCACATTTTCTTTCTCCAGTCTCCAGTTGATGGGCATTTGGGCTGTTTCCAAGTTTTAGCTATCACAAACAGAAATCATTCTTTTTATGAAGAGTCATGGAATTTGCACACCATCACTCTGCTTACTAACAATAAATCACAAGTCCAGCCCACATTCAAGCCAAGGAAATTTAAGCTTCACTTTTCAAAAGAACTTGTGGATATACTTTTAAGCCGCCCAGGCCTGACTAGGATTTGGGGTGGGGGGGTGTCAAGTTTTCACCATTAAACCAATCAACTGCAACCAAAAACTGGGTCACATCATAACATGGCTGTTTTCTCTATAATCTTGTGGATGTGGTAGAAAAGAAGTTTCCAGAAAGGGGAGCTGCACAACTAGAGAAAAAAGAATTCTTTTCCTCCATCACCAGAAACAAAAATCCCAGGGAAGAATTTTGATTGGCTCTGCTTGCATCATATGCTCCTTCCAAGAACCGTTAATCACTGCAGTGAGGGAAGGGGAATCTCTTGCTAGAATAAGGGGATGGAGGAGGAGTCGCTGGTGGCCATGCATGAAAATGTTTATTTTGTGCATTTCAACATGCCATTTACTCTTTTTATGACTTTGTTTCAACCTTCGCTAAAAAGAGATTACAAGGCCTTCTGCATAGAGTTGTCACGACTATTAAATTAGATGACACCTGTAAAGCACAATGTTTAGTCTCATGAAAATCTATTAAGATCCTTACTGCTAAAAATACCTAGAACTCATCTCAAATGGGCATTTCTGGAAAGTAATTTAAATGGAAATCTCAAGGTTCACTCTTCACTGCTAATTCACCAGATTCTTACTTCCTCCCAGTGGTTGATTTCATCCACAGTCTTTTCCCGTGAAAGAAAATAGCCAGGCTTCATGTTTGAAACAAGAATGGCTTTCTCCGATATTACAAGAAAGAGTCCAATGGTTGACTCAACCAGTGGCTGATTAAGGTCACATGCTCATCCTTGAACCAGTCTTGATCTCCCAAGAAATGGAATGTACTGATTGGCACAAGCCAATCAAAATCCACCACTGGGGCTGGGGATTTAGCTCAGTGATGCCATGCCTGCCTCACAAGCACAAGATCCTGAGTTTGATCCCCGGTACCACACACAAACACACACACAAAAATCCACTGCTGATGGCTGGGGGCAAAGTCAACCTCCCAGGAGAACAGGAAATTAAATGAAAATCAGGCACTGTAAGAGGGAGAGAGAGAGAGAATGGATTCCGTGGGCCAAGGACAGCTGGCCTGCCAAACCCAACCCTCTGCCTGTTGTAAACAAAGTGTTAGTGGAACACAGCCAAACTCATTGGCCCATGTAGACTGCCTATGGCTCCTTAAGGGTTACAAGGGCCGACTTGAATTGTTGCAACAGAGCTACATGGCTTGCAAACCCAAAAATACTTACTGTCAAGGCTTTTAGAGAAAAAGTTTGCACACCTCCTGCACATAAGAAAATGTACAATTTCCACTGCACCAGTGCTCAAAACCACCATGATGGACACCATGACAAGCCAGCAGAGCAGACATCTGCAGGCAGAAGAATTTCCCCAGGGTTCATCAGGTTGTACCTCACTACCAAAGAGTAAACACAAAGCCTGTGAATTCACATCAGCCTAGGACTGGTTGGAGATGAGCTTTCATGGCTGCTGGAGCGTACAAGCCCTGACTCCATTACCATCACAGAGCTTCAGCATTCAATGATCAATGACGTGCAGCCTGATGCTGCTGGCAGGCCAGGGGCCGCATATCCCAATTCTTCCTTGGTGATAAATGGGGAGCAACCTCCAGGAGCTCCAGCCTGGAAGACAGCCCTAGTTAAATTACTTTATCGCCCGGCTGAGAGATGGCCAGCTGGGAGGAGATGTACTCAGGCAGCATGTTAACTAAGCTCAGCATAGCACACAGGCCCTTGCTCAGGGTGACAGAGCCCTCCTTCAGCCTTGCCTCCAAAGAACAGAATTCAGCCCTGGGATTGTCCCCATGAAGCTGCTCTCCCTGCCACTCCATTGTAATGAAGATCCAGGGGCTGCATAGTTTATAGTTCCCCCATAAGCTTGTCCCATGGCAGAGGATTTGTACATCATGGTGTCCTTGCACACACCCAAAATGCTAGTTTTTCAAGTTGAAAAGAAAAGTCTATAGCTAAATGCACAGGCGTAGGATGGGCAGGACAGACTTCACCATCCAGCTCTGCAATTTGCCACTTAACAGGGGCAAGTGTCTTAATTGGTAGCCCTCAGAAACATACTCCAAGACAAGGATTCCAGGGCAAGTAGTGATGTAGACGGTGACCCCAGGAGGCACCAGCAGAGAGTTGAGACAGAAGGAGCCAACACAGAGTAGGTATGAAGGAATTTGTCTCTGGGCAACTGAGTCAAACGCTGCTACAGAACCAGTGTTGGTTATTGCCTCAGTGGTAACTCACCCAGAGCACAAGGGAGCTGGGGTATTAATACTGTTATTATTGGGGTGCTACTGCCAGGCACACTAATTCCCTGGCACTCCTGGCCTATAGTGCATGGGGCCCCAATAGCCAGAGGGAGCAGATGCAGGGAGTTGAAGTCCAACCCATGGACAATGAAGCAGTATATCCCAAGGGGGGAAGGGTCAGGATCTGGAAGGCCACCAACAATTATGTTAACGTATGTTTTCTGAGTCTCAGTTTCCCCACCTATAAAATATCCTAATAGCTAATGTTATGGGATTTCTTTGAAGGGTAAAAGCAACACTAGGTGAAAATATTTGGCACAGTAACTGGTGTTAGTAAAGATTCAATAAATAATAGCTATACTTAAAAGGAGCAGTCTGAAAAATGGAATTTGTCATATACGTCATGCTCATTTTTTAAATCAACTGAGCCCCATCCTATGAAGCTGGCAAGAAGTTCAGCATGCATGTTTTGGGTGGTCCTTCCACTTCTGTAAAGTCACATTGGAATCTGAGAGGTTTAGCATCAGGCTGGGAAACAAAGATGAGAGGAGTCTGGTCTTCAGCCCCCCATGGACCTCACTGGTGAATCACCATTCAACTCTGCAGAATCCTGAGTTTAGCTAAAGGGATCTTTTGGATGTTCAGATCCCCAGTGCCCAGCATCCAGCTTCTTTCAGTACATCCCAGCCATTCCACACTGTGGAGGTTCAGCCATCACCCCAAGACCCTGTGTGACGAACAGGGTCAAGGCACCTGCAGCGCTCTGGCCCCTCTGGTGTGGAGGAATCACAATCCTCTCTCACAGCTTTTTCTCCATACCTCAAAATCACTTGTCTCTCTTTTTTCCCCTCTGAGCCATCAGCAAGGATTGCAAGCTGGGGGGTGGGGGTGGAGTGAAGAGAATGACCCAAGGTCTCTGAGGTGGCAGATACCCACTTGGAATGGGGCTCTGTGGCACCTGTGTGTCAGCACCATCTGGGCTGCACGTCCTGTCATGGGGCAGTGGAGTCCAAACCTCGACAAGGTATTTGATCAAAACCACCAGAGGGAAGCCACTCAAAACACAGGGTGAATGTTTGAACTTTAAAAATATTGATTACATAAAAGATACATTGCCATTAGTCCCTCTCAAATTATCCCCCTTCACTTGGAACACACCCCATTGTTCTTGCCACTTTCTCAAGCAGTTCTGGAAGCCCTGTTTCCTGTCTTTACTTGCACTGTCATGGCTCCTTCAATGTCCTGAATCAATTCAAAATATTTACCTTTCATGGGCATTTTGGCTTTGGGGATGAGCCAGAAGTCTTCTGGTGCCAGATTCAGTGAATAAGGTCAATTAGGAAACACTGTAATATTTTTATGAGCCTTTTTTTCTGTTGAAAGGCACTCAACAGCAGCATTCACATTTTTTTTTATCACATCTCATAAAGACACTCACAAAAGAGGACTTCTAGAAATGCTTCAGAAAGTGGCCAGTGAGGAGAAAGAAAATGGCAGAGTGGTGATCAGAAGCAAAATTCAGCCCCTCTGAAATTCAGAATCCAGACAATAGAAAATAACAACTTGTTGAAGAAAAAGAGAAAAGCAGAAAAAAAATCTTAAAGGAACTGAGGGAAACAAAATAGAATCTGCAGAGAACTTGGAAAGACATCCACAATGCAGAGAAAAGAAAAAAACAATTTAGATTATCTCTCCAGGTCTCATGGCTCATGGGAAAAGGAGCTTGGTTCCCCAGGAGCAAGGTAAGTACTGGGGGCTGTGAGATTCAAGGAGAA